GATAACTTACTTATTTGTGGATCCCGTTGCAATTTAGCACCTAACGTTATACCTAGAAATACAACTGTATCCACGAGATTCAATTTTTCGTTTCTAACTACAATGTTTGTAACCGTCTCTCTAACATTGGGTAATGTAAATTTCACACAATTTGTTTTTTTTCTCATTAAGGAGCAGGTTATTAACTAAGCAAACTACTTTAGATATAGTATTGTTCACATCATCGTAGGAGCATTGGTGCCTTTTAACTTTAAATAATAATGAAGAAGAAGAATCATCAGCAAACAATACTATCTCATGTTTTAAACCCTCCATGAGGCTAAGTCAGTAAGTAAGTCATTAATATAAACTAAAAATGGACCTAGAATTGAACCTTGTGGGACACCCATGCTAATAGCAGACCCTGATGATCTCGTACCATTAACATGGACCCTCTGTACCCTACCACTCAAATACGTTTTGAGAAGGTCGAGGTCACGTCCCGCTACACTATAATGGCGAAGTTTCCTGACCAGAGCATCACGGCGCACACAATTAAAAGTCTTGGAAAGGTCACAGAATACACCAATAACGTCATATGAGTCTTCCCATGCATCAAATATATGTTTCATCAACTTTACACCAGCATCGGTTGTAGGGCGACCCCGAGTGAAACAAATTGTTTAGGAGACATTTAGTTTGAAAAAACAAATATACGCGATTTAAATCCGGAAAAATAGTTTCATTTCCTATGTGTAACAATCGCGAAAACCTAAGAACTCGATATAGACATTAAGTTATTACTATAAAAATGTGCACCCAACTGATTTAAAATATTTTTTTCAAAGATTTTACTTAGTGTTGGTAGTATTGAAATAGGTCTGAAATTGGTGGGCTCTGACATACTACCAAATTTGAAAAGTGGAATAACTTTACTTTGCTTCATGAGGTCAGGAAACACACCATCATTAACACATTTATTAAAGACACAGGCTAAGTAAAGCGCAATACAATCAACTATAGAAGTAATTACTCTGACTGAAAGACCATCAAGGTCAGCAGTATTTTTTATGTGTACGGACTTAAAGGCTTTAACAATATCGTTTGGAAATACATGAAGGAACCTTAAATTAGTAATACTAACTGCATTATTTTCTTTTAATAAGGATTCAGCGGCTGTGGGGGATGAATTTAACGACGTAGTAATCAAAATTGGAATGTCAGTAAATAAAATTCAAATATTTTAGCAACTTCTGCGTCTAAGTTTATAATTTTGTCATTAAATCTTAGTTTAAAATCTAAGTGACGAGGTTTGACCGTTGCAGTTTCGCTGTTTATAATATTCCAAGTCGTTTTTACTACATTCGCGCTGCATTTAATTTTATTGTTTATAAACATTGCTTTGCTGCAACACAAACACGTTTAAACATTTTCGAATACTTGCTAACAAAATCATTAAAACTGTTACTAGTGTTATAGGTCCTTTCATCGTACAGATCATATAGCCGTTCTCTACTTTTATGAATTCCCACTGTCGCCCAATCACAAAATTTCAGTGAATTATTAATGGTTATGAATTTGGATTTAAAAACATTATCACGTTCAGTTTTCACTATGTAGAATATTGAATTATACAATTTATTGGGATCGTTAACGTACGGAATGTCAGTTACTTTAAGCATTACGTCACTTCTAAAAACTTTAAGCCGGCCATTATTTATCGGAACACATGTGATATCCTTTTTTGGCACTTTATCAACAGTTATATTAAAAGTGGCCAATTGACCGCAGTGATCAGACGTTAATTAATTTATAATAGATTTATTACTAGGTACGGCGTTAGTATAAATATTGTCAAACAAGTGGCTGTAGTAGAAGTTATTCTAGTAGGCACGAAAAAAAGATTCACGAGATTATAACATTGGAAAAATGATTTGAGCCTACTGCTAGCACTGGAATCTTCTAATAAGTTGACATTGAAGTCACCACAAACAGTAATATATTTATTTGGATTATTTAATTTGCCTAAAACTTCATTTAATCTTTTTTCAAATAATTCGTAAGATGAATGAGGGGATCTGTACACACTTAAACACAACAAGCCGTTCAAGCTCTATGCTGGATATCTCACAATATAACGTTCTTTGAATTTTAAATTATTTTTAATAAGAACTAAAGAGCCGCCATGAATAGCTTTTTCTCTGCTGAACGAACTAGCCACCTGGTGATTGCTGAAACTAAACATGAACTGATGTTTAGATAAAAAGTAGTGCTCAGTAATATGAAGAATATCAATATTTTTATTGTTAATAAATAATTCTATTTCTAACTCTTTCATGCCTTGAATATTTTGGTGCACCAAGTGTAATATACAATTTATTTTATTTCTATGTGTTTTATATTGGTTTTTTACTGTCACTGTATTGCAAGAGTATTTTTCCGTTGTCTTGTTAATCAATTGAAATAATTGGAAATTGAATTACTTTTAACAGATTGATTAATGTCAGTAAACTGACCTATGTCAATGGACTGCTCAATAGAAGCAGCCGGTCTGGTAGCCAACGATTTCACTGAACTATTAATATAATATGATAGCAACTCTGCTATCTGTTCCCTAAAATTACTAGTACGATAATACGTGTCTTTAGTCAAATAAAAATACTTACTAATAAAATTATTAGTATCCATAAAATGAAATTTACTACGAAATGTCAAGCTGTGTAATGTTCTATTTAAGTTATGCTTAATATTATTTTCACTTGTTGTGAGGCTATTGCTGAAGGGAAAAGCGAACAAAATAATTTGTTATTAAATAAATCATTTGTGTGAGCATTCTCGAGCATGCGCGAGATTTCGCCGGAGTTGCTTTTTGGCTCGTATCTGATTTGTACGTTACACAGGTGAGATAATGTTCGTTTTGCTGTATACAGGGTCAAGAGCACGTCAAGCTTGACATGTAACGCTTAAATCTAACTCTATACCGCTTACGATAAGAACGGTCCAAAGTGTCAAGCTTGATGTGCTCTTGACTGTACAATTTCGTTATAAAAATTCGCTTCCATTCCGTTCGAAGCCGATTCCGAGTCGATAAGTGTGGTGACTCCCTTATAGTAGAGCGGAAGAGAGCAAAAAGTTTGTAATTGACTTGACATAGAATAGATTTGACTTTTGTTAGATTTGTCGACGAACTGTATATGTTGAAATTGAAATTTTCGAAACACTTTGTAGCGATAATCAAGGATTAAATTAGTCTCCATAACTTGAGGAAACAAATGTGATTACTTCTAGCCGTGTATCAAACGCAAACACGACAGAAATAGGTAATGGAGATGTCTTCAACTCCTGTGGTGGCTGCAGCGGCCGGTAAAATTTTCAAAGCCCCAGTTCGTGCGGGGCGTGGAGTTCCGGAGATTACTGAAGCTTACATTAAGAAGTGCTCCTGCCATCGTGAAAAGACCATCGTTTTCTGCAGAGCCTGTGGGTATTACTGCCATGGACGCATTCGTCTCAAATGCGAACAACATCCGCGGGTAAGTGAAATAAATTTTATTGAAGGCGGGTACAGATGTTGCAGACCTGAGAAAATAATTTTGAGATCTAGATACTTCTTACTTCTAGATATTAGAGGCGTGGGCAGATATTCATTATATAATTGTAAAGAGTTACATTCACTAGTTACCAAAGAGGCTTTTGGCCAACTATAATAATATGAATAAAAAATAAGACTTATTTTACATATACTATAAATTACTGACCATTTTCAACTGTTACATTTACTTAATCAATTAACTTCTTACATAATGTGTGCAAAGTACTACAGGTAAATAAATTAGTACTTATAGGTATGAAATGTACCTACTACTTATTTTTACTTTATATTGTTGAGAACTTATGTATGTACCTTGACGCAAAGCATATAATGTTACATATTAAAAACTTGTTAACCTGTAATTTGAACAAATAATTTCTAAAGGCATCATTACTAAATATTACATTGGTTTTTAAGATAATTACTAATTTTTAACTGTTGACAGGTTACATTTTTATTGGATATTGCTGAATGTCCACGCTGCCACTCCTCCTCATTCCTGGATGAGTACTTTGGTTAAGTGACTATTAAGGTTTCAAGTTTATTAGTCACCTTGTGACTAGAGAAGTTCTCCCTTTTTTTGTTCAATGTTTAATGAGCTCAAATTTTTGTTTTACTTAGTTTAGTATTTGTTTTGTTTAGGGGCAAGACTTTGATATGATAGTTTGATGGCTAATCTATTGTCAAACTTCATACTGACAATTGTAATTGTAATTATTATTAAAAAATTACTTTCCTTATTTTTTGTTTTCAATAATTTCTCCTAATTTAGAACTGTCTGAGTTGAAGCAGATATTTTGTGTTAAATATTAGGCTTCATTTTCAGATTTTTTCTTTCAGTGATAAGTGATTATGTATTGTGAATTTTTTTAGTTTTACTGGTATCCCATGCATAAATATTTACAATACTATTGTGATTTTGCAAGTAAATAAAACAAATGTTTGAAATGTTAAATACCGTAGTTCCTAATAAAACAGTTTGAAGTAAAATTTTTAAGGTTGTGAAATAAACAAATACTTAAGATTACTTATTGATTTGAAAATATATTAGGCTTACACATTGACTTACAATTATATGGACGTCGGGTCCGCGCTAAAAAGTGTCCGCATATGTAAGGCGCTAAAATCGTATACAGAGCGCCAAACTCCGCTTTAGTCTTCATTTGTTCGACTGACAGCGCGATACTGCGATGACATTACAATTTAAATTTCGAATAGGTTGACTTGGGACTTTTTTTGTGGTTTTTGTATTAGACCCGTCGTCCATTTATTTGTAAGTCAATGGGCTTACACATTCTATTTTTCTTATTATTGTTTTACAATTCACAAGTGCCATAATGTTACCAGTGAATTTATTTTAGTATTAAGTAGAAACTATTAAGTTTTTCATGAAAAAAAAACTTACATGGTTTCTTGGATATTGTTATTAGCATTAAGGTTGTTGTTGAATATCTTTTTAAATAAAAATTAACCAAAGTGACGGAATTTTATTTTATTTTAAGTATTTATAAGTTAAAACAAATTTACACTATTCAACAACATAAGAAATCTTATGTATTCTAAATACATAATAAATTAGATCAGCTTTAGAGAGGGAAGGCGAGTCTGACATTTTTTCATACAATCTTTATAATCGTGTTGTTTATTAAAAGCCTTGTAAAATGATGACATGCCATAGATAGACCAAAATGTATTTCATTACAAACAAATCCTTAAAAAAATTCAACATTAACGGCAAAAATAGGCAACCAATTTGTAAACTTCTAAGATGGTGTAGCTCTTTAATCTACTTAGTTTTTGTACAATACAACCATGCCAAATGATATCATTCAAAATATACAAGCAAAAGATCAATAATTTCAAGCAATGACCTTTATACATATACATATAGAATAGAGTTGGTTTTTGAGTATCAGTGTTCAAAGTGTAAATAGTCCTGTTGATTGCCCATTTGCAATTGAAGATAACTCCTACTAACAACAAGAAGATTAAGTCTACTTGCTGGTTATAGGTCTTTTAATAATTTTTTTTTTAATTTTACCATAATTTGGTAAGGCCCACATTTATCTAGTCAGCCTTTTTAATACAAAAAATGTTTTCAAAGGCATTCAGTTCTCTAAAGCCAACAACTACATTTGTACATACTAAATGGAGAACCAACTAGGAACATCTTTTCTGTCCTTATTGCGGTCTATATAGGCTCTATATGTTTTCTTAGCTTCAGCTAGTGACTTCTCGTTCTCTGCCTTATCGTCTTGATCTTTTTCAAACAAGTTTGGAAACTCAAATGTCATATTTTTGGGCTGCAAAATAATTCATACAATTAAAGAAAAAATAATTTAACTTTATAATTATATACATACAATTATAATAAAAAACATCATCATATTAAAAAAAAATTTAACTCAAATGATTAGTGCACATCAAATAAAATGTTTTTATATTATATTGTGTGAGATATGTGATTGATAATTAAAAACGAATTAGCCCCCCTGTGAGCGGAGTTACGGAGCCCGCCTACACTCTCCCTTTATTTAAATTTACTTTCTCATTAAGTTATATCAGAAAGTAAATTTCATATAAAAACCCAGCAAAAACGCAAAATCCTAATCGTTTCTGTCCATAAACATCTTAAATTATAATATAATTTAAAAGTTCAAGTTTACCTAAATTAAGGGAATAAATAATAAAGCTATTAAAATATTATAACAAAGTTGTAATTAGTACTTACCATGGTCACCATAGCATATTTAATATCATCATCTTTAACAATGTAACCTTTCCCGGGATCTTTGCGAAATCTTCCTAAAGCAATCTTTGTTCTCACATCGACGACGGGCACATTGTAAATCTTTGTCAAGTAGTTCTTAATATCGTGTTTGGTCATTTCCATAGAACATTGGAAGTGTACTATATTTGGTTGCTGCTTTGGTGTTGGATGAACTAATTTCATCCAAAAATTTGGCAGGAACACCCTTAATTGTGGGTTCCCCCGTTGGTAGATGGGGTACCTGTAAAACAACAATTTGTAAATTATTTATAAATGAAAACTAAAAAAGGCCATAATACCATCTACAACGATTAAAATGCTTACCAACGAGTTGACATTCTCTAATGGGACTTCTACGTATTTATTCAAAATTAATTACGCTACTGTTAATTGAAAGATTAAAAACTAAAGATAATTATTTTTTCAACGACGACTCTCGCTGTTTGGAATCTCAATTTATTAGAAGATGTAATATAACCTAACCTAAGCTCAAAAAACATTTTTTTTTTAAATTTATTAAGGCTTTGGCAAAGCCATTAGCCTAAACATGAAGTTTAATTATGTTTCTGTAAATATGGCCGCCACAAAGAGGATAGGCAATTTGAGGCGGCGCCGGCGCGCTTGGATCAACGTAGTGATTAGATCCTCTTTGCGCTTGGATTGACTCGGGATTTCTTAAAACGGACCGATACGGGTATTTTAGTTCGAGATTCGTATAATTTCGTTTTAATCTTCGATTAAGGTACAATAGCACTATCCTATTCCACTTTAAATTAGATTTCACAAAATAATTGAAAGTCAAATTAAAAACGACACTTCCCTCCAAAAGGTCCAGAACACAAACTACTAATACAAGAGTCCAGAGCGAATGTCAAAAAACAAATGTCAAATTAGGAATGGGCGTTACAAATCGTATGTAGTTATTAAGTTATCTATGATTGGGCAATATCGAATATCCGATATCGTGTATCTTAGAAACTATACATCGATATGCTCCGCATCGCGTATTTTGTAGCGATGCCGAAACAAGCCAGGCGATTACCGAGTGGATACCAACATGAAATCATATATTTTCCGAACTATATACCAATTGCTTCGTTTCAGTGAATATCTACGCGAAACCATTTTTTGTGCGTCTTCGAAACTGTATACTAACATTGGCCCGTATTACACTTTTAAAACTACATCCAATAATATATAGTTTCGAAATCTGATTCCGAATATCAGTAACGGCAATGTATCAACGCAGCGCGCACGCGGGCTGTATCCATGAATATATAGTTTTAGAAAATATATAGTTTCGAAATCCGATTTCGAATATTGATATATAGTTTCGATACGACATTCAGAAAAAGCTATATTCCATTCCTATGACAAATGATTATTATTATTTTTTCATTTATTGAGCTTTGGCTACGAGGACATCAGCTTAAAACGATATGTATTAAGGTCTATGCACACATATCCTTGAACGAGGACGGGTTATGCTCTGTCAGGGGCTGAAAAAAATCGTTACGTATATTTTGTGTGAACTTGTTCACACATGTCCGTGTCCGGACCGGCGCCGGGACGGACCCGCAGTTCATATAAACTAGCACGCCCCGTCCACGTCCCGGGCGCGGCCGCTGATGTGTGTGGATAGTCCTTTAATATCAATCACAGAGTAATGACAAGGCTTGTCATTACTCTGAGATATAAATAAAATAGTAATATATTTTCATTGTCAATAACATTGACTTACAAATAAATGGACGACGGGTCTAATACAAAAACCACGAAAAAAATGTCCCAAGTCAACCTATTCGAAATTTAAATTGTAATGTCATCGCAGTATCGCGCTGTCAGTAGAACAAATGAAGACTAAAGCGGAGTGTCGCGCTCTGTATACGATTTTAGCGCCTTACAAGTGCGGACACTTTTTAGCGCGGACCCGACGTCCATATAATTGTAAGTCAATGGTCAATAATCAAAATTCGTTCATTTAATTATTCTATAGTCGAATTTGGGAAGTACTAAGAGCTGTAAAAACCATTATAAAAAGAGTCATTTGTGGTAGGAATTTGGGATGTAGCAGAGAACAAAATAAGTAACGATGTAGTAGAAAATATGCGATTTATGCCTACGACAACATCGCCACAAACTGTCAGTTTGTTACAAACATGGCGGTGGCCCTGTCACCAGATCAAGAGCTGGTAAGTAATTTTTGAAATAAAATATACTGTAACTTACCTTTTCAAGTTAATTTATGCTGTGGTTTCTAACAACAACTTTGTATATCGATATGGTTTGTATAAGATTTATCAATCCGACATATAATAAAAAGCATGAACTGCGAAACTTGCGTCGTTTACCATGTCATCAATGTTTGTTTTGATTTCTTCTTGTTTAATTATATTAAAATGCGTATAATTTAGATATTTTGCCCTGGTTATGAAGCTACTTGTGCCATCTTAAGACAATTTAAAGTAGGTCATTGCATTTGGTATAGATTGAAACAATTTTTGTGTGGTATTTAGGTGAGCAGAGGCACAATGTGTTTGTGGAGGTGAAATAATATGATGTGGCTCGTCAAATTCCGTTTCGTGTACCGGTATCCACAATTGATCCTTCTCCCGTCTCATTTAATATTGTCGTAACGCTTCATATAAGGACATTCCAAAACTGGTTTTGTTATCATTTGTGTTTCAAGTGCTATTGTTATGTTTTGCGATTGTTATATTTTATTCTAAATCATTGTTCATGTTTATCATGTACATTCAAATGCATAGTACATACACGCTTGTTAATGACAAATTCTAAAAGTTATAGTTATAACGAAGTGTTGAATTTTGTTGAGTATTCAAAATATCTGTATACGCGACAGTAATCATACTTGTTAATAATGAATTCAATGTCCACAAAGAGTTCAACTATAAATAGCTGAAAAAATCCTCTTGAATTCAATGACGTTACTTCAAACATATAGACAAAGTTGACCACTATGGATGAATAGATATTTTAGTTTGTTTAGTTTTGCCTGATTGCATCATTTGGACGTTGATTGTACATCTAGCTACTTTAATAGTAGGTAAGGTCGGCAATCACAAAATATCGTCGTTCTTAGTCCTAACTGCAGTAATTATAGACTAATAAAAACCTTATATTTAGTAGAGCGCGTGATAGCCGCAAGACAAACTTTAAAAAAAAATTCGTTTGAGCATTTACGATTTGCATATTAATGAGGACCATGCCTGTGTCCTAATCAAAGGTATAGAACACTTCCGAAATAGAACGAATTGTCGATAGTACGGTCGACGACCGAAGAGCGCGACATCCGCTAACCACGCCTACGCTGCATCTTCGACACGCTTTTGTTATTTGAAAAAGTTTATTACGACCTACTAATCGCTTCTCGTGCGCGCCATTGGAAAATTCTTTCCAAGCCAGGCCCGCTCGGAAGGAAAACCGCAAGAAGTTTACTCACCGATAAGATAACGAGATATTGCACGCACAGACAGTATCTGTCGTAATGAACACAAAGTAAATAAAAAATAGGCAAATATAGTTTGGTACGAAAATTCACTTTTTGCCTTTTGATTATAAATGGCCGAGTAGCTTTCCGTTATTCCTTCGCATGAGACGATTGTTTATTTGCGCCGTGTAAATTTAGCGCCTCGATGCTGACGTCTGCGCAATACAACTGCTATATTATCCTACTTCCGTTGAAGTTGCCAAATAATAAACTTCTTAATCCAAAATCGCAGATACTGAATGGGCCTGGGAACGGATATCAACGTAGTAAATCGCGGTTTTAAGTGTGACTGACAGGGAGAGGCCGGACGCACCGAGATCTGATAGAGTGTTCTCAGCACGCAATTGCCGGTACTTTGGTCTGATTAAATCCGCTTTTGATTTAACAACTTGTCCTGTGTCGTTATTAATAAATTTTTTCACGAATATTCAAAACGTTTTGTACTGAATTATGTATTTGTATGTATTATTTTTAAATAGTTGATTTAATATTGTTGCCTGATCGTGAGGACTGGAACAATTTGTAAAATCTAACGTAATTGACATAAAATTATGTTTTTAGCGTGGTAAATAAAATTATGTGTTAAATTAACAAAATCTTGCACGCGCAACAGTTTATTACGACACCTAATGCGGTAATTTCCAAGGAAAAGTCAGATAGAGCGCGAGACCCTAAAATGTTTGGCGTCCTCGTAATTGTGCTGTGGGACGGCAAAAGGCAAGTAAAAGAGGAAATATGCTTCCCCTCAGGGAGCCACAGCACTCATTTCCGGAAGTGGCAAAAGTTGCGGAGTGAGTACTTCCTTTTCACAGTTGCTTTTGTTCAACGTAAAATCCAGTAATGTATCTTCTAGTATACATATTATAGCAGGACCTAACAAACATCTTCAAAAGACTATCATCCAGAATGCTTGAAGTTTACTCGTTTAACAAAGGTTTATTGTTAAATCTTTCTATATTCTGCACTACAGAGTGTGCCCGTGAGTGTATGACTATTTAGCTTGCGCTCTTACCCGTATCTCCGTCTAAAGTCTACCCGCCTTACAAAAACAGGCTCGTGGAACGCAACGCTGAATTTGAATAATGTTTCGAGAAGGCTAGAGATTGTGCAAAAACTGTACCGTGTCAGATTAAATTACCCCTGGTGTAAACGGATGGTTTTGGTAACAACAGGCCGCGCGAACGTACCTGTCAACGAAATGTGACGATGTTTATACGCTCGTTGGCAAAATGTGACAAGTGACATGCTCACTGGAGCGTAAAGGGACCGTAACGCTAGTCTGGATGTAGTCAGCTTTTTAGGAAGGTCATTACTAGACATCGGATTATATGCACTATCAAAATGCCAAAATATGCATGCAAATATGCACTAAAAAAGGGCGAAATATGCACAAAATATGCACAATCAAAAAACCATTATTAGAATTAACTTTATTTCTACAATATACAATAACATATTTTTCAAGGTTTTCTGGCGCAAATTTGTGACGTTTGTCACTTAAAACTAATTTATATGCTGAAAATGACCTTTCAACGTCAACTGACGTTACCGGACAGAACTAAAAATTTGGTGCCATTTCTGCCGAGACCTCTTCAGGCAGAATTTGTCCGGTGCCGTTGATAAATGCGAATAGCGAGTCGAGTACCTACGCTCGCGGATCGCTCTCAATGCGCTCTCGCAGTGCGTGCGAGGGCGATGTGTTGATGTGTGGTGTGGGGACGGCGGCGTAGTACAACACGTCTAACACGTATAAATACTAAAATAAGCACTGTCAATGAAAAAGTACCAAAATATGCAATAACGCTATAAAAATAGCATTATATGCGTTTGCATATGCAAACATGCAAATGCATATAATCCGATGTCTAGTCATTACGTACAATGGAAACCAACTGACTCTAAGACGAAATGAAAAACGAGTTTTGTTTTCATCTTTGGATTC